GTTTCTGACTATCTTTGCCACGACATGGAACAATAAGATGTTTAATATATGATGGAGCTTGGTTAAGAGCTTTGTATGTTAGGAGTAATATTTTAAATTCTATTCTGAATTTGACAGGGAGCCAGTGGAGAGAAGCTAAAACTGGAGAAATATGATCTCTCCTTCCAACTCTCATTAAAACTCTAGCAGCAGCATTTTGGATTAACTGAAGACTACTTAAAGTTTTTTGGACCCAGATAATAAATAATTACAGTAATCCAGTCTAGACGTGATAAATGCATGGATCAGTTTTTCTGCATCATTTTTGGACAAAATGTTTCTAATTTTAGTGATATTACACAGGTGGAAGAAGGCGGTCCTGGTAACATTTTTAATGTGGGGTTAAAAGACATATCCTGATCAAAAATAACACCAAGGTTCTTTACATTAGAACTGGAGGTCAGATTAATGCATCCAGAGAAGGTGAAAGCCTACAAAGTTGATCCCTAAGATGTTCAGGTCCAAAAACCACAACCTCTGTCTTATCTGAGTTTAGAAGCAGAAAATTAAGAGTCATCCATGTTTTTATGTCTGTAAGACATGCTTGTAGTTTAAGTATCTGGTTGGATTCATCAGGTTTGATAGATAAATATAACTGAGTATCATCAGCATAACAATGGAAATTTATCCCATACTGTTTAATAACTTTACCTAATGGAAGCATATATAAAGTAAAGAGGATTGGTCCAAYCACTGAACCCTGAGGAACTCCATGACTAACTCTGGTGTAAGAAGAAGATTCATTATTAACATTAATAAACTGAAATCTGTCAGTTAAAATACGACTCAAACCATTTTAGAGTTGTTCCTGTAATCCCAATATCAAGTTCAAGTCTATAAAATATTGTGATTAACTGTATCAAATGCAGCACTGAGATCTAACAGGACAAGAATGGACACAAGTCCACTGTCTGAGGCCATTTGAATATCATTAGTAATTTTCACCAGTGTTGTTTCTGTGCTTTGATGAGCTCTAAACCCTGACTGAAACTCCTCATATACTGTAGATTATTTCTATCCAGATGTTCACGTAGCTGATTTGCAACTAATTTCTCAAGAATTTTTGAGATGAATGGGAGATTAGATATAGGTCTATAGCTGACCAGAACTCCTGAATCAAGATAAGGTTTCTTAAGTAAAGGTTTAATTACAGCAACCTTAAAGCTCTGTGGCACATAACCATTCATTTGAGATAAATTAAGTACATCTAAAATATAGATATTAATTAAGGGAAATGCTTCTTTGAACAGTCTGTTTGGGATGGGATCTAGCAGACATGTTGATGGTTTGGATGAAGCTATTATTTTAGATAATTCAGAGCTCAACAGGACAAATACTGTCCAGACATAAATCAGGTTCTAGTGACACTAAAGCTGCCTCATCTGACAGAGAATCAGAGACTGGAAGTTTGGCATGAATTTTATTCTTTATTAAAATTATTTTATCTGTAAAGAATCTCATGAAGTCATCACTACTTAGAGTTATAGGGATACATGGCTCAACAGAGATAGCTTTTTATTAGTCTAACTACAGTACTGAACAGAAACCGGGTATTGCTTTTATTTATTGGAGTTTTACTTGTTAAAAGCGCCACACATTCTGTAGTTTTTCTTTGGTGAAACATGAATATTTCTGTGATTAAAATTATGATTTTATGTACAGACTGGTGTCTTATTCCAACTGTAGGTTTTGTGGCTGTCCGATACGTACCGGAAGCATGATCCGTACTGTCCAGGAAACATTGTTTTTAGCATGTAGCATTTTGCTAAACTGATGACAGCACATGCAATGTTTCATAGAAAAGGCAACGTTTGCAACTGCTATGGACTTTTATTCCAGGGAAAAAATAAAACAAAGTTATAATTGTCTAGAAAATAGTTAGCAAGTTATTATAAATAAAAAGGTACGCATCGCAAATCTAATCTAATCAAAATGTGTACAATATTAAAACTGTTTTCAGAATATAATGCAATGCAAAAATGTTATAATTAAGTATAGAAATAAATATTTTCAGGTTTTTTTCCTAAATCGAGCACATTCCAGAAGTCTATCATTTAGCACATGCAAATGAGCTGTATTTCTTTCAGCGCATGCGCAAATGAGCTGATAGTACGGATCGTGCTACAGGGACTGATCGGGCAGCCACAGGTGTGTCTTATTCCTAATGTAAATGTGTCTTATTCCCAAATGTAGGTGTCTTATTCCCAAATGTAGGTGTCTTATTCCCAAATGTAGGTGTGTCTTATTCCGAAATGTAGGTGTGTCTTATTCCCAAATGTAAATGTGGGTGTCTTATTCCCAAACGTAGGTGTCTTATTCCCAAATGTAGGTGTCTTATTCCCAAATGTAGGTGTGTCTTATTCCCAAACGTAGTTGTCTTATTCCCAAATGTAGGTGGCTTAATTCCAAATGTAGGTGTCTTATTCCCAAATGTAGGTGTCTTATTCCCAAATGTAGGTGTCTTATTCCCAAATGTAGATGTCTTATTCCCAAATGTAGGTGTCTTATTCCCAAATGTAGATGTCTTATTCCCAAATGTAGGTGTGTCTTATTCTGAAATGTAGGTGTGTCTTATTCCCAAATGTAAAACGTAGGTGTCTTATTCCCAAACGTAGGTGTCTTATTCCCAAATAAAGGTGTGTCTTATTCCCAAATGTAGGTGTCTTATTCCCAAATGTAGGTGTGTCTTATTCCCAAATGTAGGCGTCTCATTTCCAAAACGTAGGTGTCTCATTTCCAAAAGTAGGCGTGTCTTATTCCAAATGTAGGCGTGTCTTATTCCAAATGTAGGCGTGTCTTTATCCATAAAGCTTCATTGGTACCCTTGTTTTACCTGCCACGTTAAGCTTCAGGGAGGATCAAAACAACTACAGAAAAACATTGAAAGATCAAAGTCTTTATTTTCTCCAGAGAAGGCTGGGATGTAAAGGAAACAAACAATGCATCTCCCAAATGAAACATTTGTACCAGATGAGGAAAGATGAGTGTGCCATGTGCTCTCTAACTGTAATAACAGTCCATGTCCTGCAGTCTCAGCAGCAAGAAGGGCCTTTCAGAGTTTAGTGCAGTTTTCCCCTCATGACATCAAAACATGGCAGGATGAGCGTGTGGACAAAGCTTTATCTAAGGCTCGAAACAGAAGCTGTGTTGATAAAGATCACAGTGGATAAGGAATGCATATGGGTAAGGTTGGCTGGGTGCAGCAGGAAATGAAGGTTCATACACCTCCCTGCCATCACTATTGGAAAGACAGAAAACTGATGCTAAAATAAATCCCAGCTTCAGAATGATAGATGGAATGGACCACAGAATGACTCAACCTGATTTTGACTCTCTCATCACATTAGCTTTTATACATGCATCCCATTCTGGATGAGCAGTGCATTACACAAAAGTACAAGGGAGAGGGGGAATACTGCTTTTACACTATACAGTTTCTAAAATATATACAGAGTAAAATAAGTTACGCTTCCATAATGAGCTGTAGCTAGTCTGCACTCATGTGCAATTAAATGCATTTGTGTGTGAGCGTTTAACAGATCTCCCAACATTTATCACACAGTCAAGAGTCTAAAGGCATCTACTTGTTTGGTTAAAGAGTGACTTATGAGCTGTAGAAGAGGACTCTTCTCTCAAAGCAATCAGATTTATCTTTATACACTCCCTGAAGGCAAGAGTCCTCTTTACATGTTAAATATCCTAACATTTACAACCTAAGATGTTAGCTCTAATAAAAATACATTTCTCCAAAAAAATATTTTCGCGATGCTTCTCTCTTTCAAGCATGCATTTGAAAATGTTCTTTTAAACATGATTTCTCTGTATTGGCTTATGAATCTTGGTGTAACCTCACACATACGACTGCCGTGCATGCTTAACACCAACTCACAAGTCAGGACCCCGAGGGGACAAATTAACTAAAATAAATGAAAAATAAAAGTTGTCCCACTACGTCCTGTTTCTCCTCCTCCTCAGACACACCGTCACACGACTTATTGCAGCTGAATTTTACAGGTTGGCTTAGTCTGGGAAAACATATTAACATTCATACAGGTAATAATATAGAGTCACAGTTATTCCCACGCATCCTTTAGCCCTTTGTATGGAGTCTCTCCTGTCCTCATGAGACCCCCTACCCTCTACAGCTGACTGACGCCTGTGTACAGGACAGGTGGTCTTTCTGTCCACTTTGGTCCAGTCTGCAGCATCACAGGCTCACAATCCAGTGCTGACCATGGTGCTGTGGGTCTGGCAGGCCTGGGCCTGACTCAGAGCCTCACGGATCTGCAGGTTGAGCTCCATGAGGCGGCTGCTTGCCTGAGACAGGTCCCTGCTGGGACCCACCACCGCCAGGCAGCCCGTCTGGCCCAGAGTTTGGTGGCGGAAGTAGATGTGCAGAAGGGTGTGAACGGCGTTATCCGTCTCATTGCCAAAGATGTCGTTAGGCCACAAGGACCTAAAGATGAAGCAAAGAATAGGAAAACAGTAATAAAGTTATTTATTTTTTAACCGGTAAGAACTAAATACTTTAGAATTTGTTTAGTTTTATCCTGGTGAATCTCCATAATCCAGGTGAAAAACAAGTTGAGTCAGGTCCTCTGGACGGGTTCTTCTTTGTTGAAAAAAAATGTTTTGTTTGAACCGCCCGTCACACACTATCAGATTTTGCTGATAAAAATAATTTTAAAAGCTCTTTTTATAATGGTTCTGTGTAGACTGAAAACAAGGCGTTTCTCCTGTCTGATTACAGTTTCAAGGACCACACTCATGTGTTGTGGGACTGCCTATTATTGATTTATCTCTGGCAGGAAGTTCAGAAAGAAATTTTAAAAATGTTTAAATTTACATTACTGCTGAACCCACTGTGTTATATATTGGGTTTGACCCAGGAGGAAATATCGGGGAAAGGAAAGTCCAGTTCATTGATCTATATTACTGGATTGGACATGGCCTATAGCTGCTATAGATAGCGACGTGCCATCATAGGAGCCATTGCTATGCATTGAGTCATGTCAACAAAACGGTAGAGTTTCAATGCAGGATGTGCGTCAATCTGTCACAAATATATTCATACCACCCTCAATTCTTATCCAATTTCTATAAAATATGGCTTAAATTCAAGCTGAGAAAATTGCCTATGTTGTGATATGTAAAAAATATGTATTTGCTCAAGAGATAAATCTATAAGCAGTCTGGGAACTTTTTATTATAGGTTTTTGCTAACATATTTACAGTAGAAGCTCCTTTCTGTCACATAGACAATTTTGCTGTTCCAACAAATTATTAGATTTTATATATTATTATATATTGATCAATGGTCCAGTTATTACAGATTCTTCTAGTGTTGCGAGGGAAATGAAGAGTCTATGTCTCCCACCCTTCAACAATGGCAAGAAACACTGAAAGATGTGTTTATATTGAAAAAGATAACAGCAAAACTTCATGTAAAAATAGACTTTTTTTGTGTTTATGGGTGCAGCTATTTCCCATTTTGGATGACCACACCAGTGAAAGAAGCTGTGTCAGCCCCCTCTGTGTTTCTATTTTAATGGAAGGCACTGGATGGGTGCGCCTATCTTTTATATACTTTTATGTGAGCCCACGGGGACCTTTCTGAGAAATGTTATTTGCTGAAGTGGACTTTAAATGTCTGCTGAGACACTAGCACTTTTTGTGTGTAGTATGTGTCTGTACGTATACCGTATTTATTCATGTATAATACGATCTCATGTATAATACGACCCCGCCTTTTTTGAGCTTAAAAAGCATAAAAAWTTTKATCCTCAAACTWCCTCCAATTTCATACAGACTTCAAGATTTTTCAGCCTTTGCAGTCTTTATACACTCACCGGCCACTTTATTAGGTACACCACGCTAGTAACGGGTTGGACCCCCTTTTGCCTTCAGAACTGCCTCAATTCTTCGTGGCATAGATTCAACAAGGTGCTGGAAGCATTCCTCAGAGATTTTGGTCCATATTGACATGATGGCATCACACAGTTGCCGCAGATTTGTCGGCTGCACATCCATGATGCGAATCTCCCGTTCCACCACATCCCAAAGATGCTCTATTGGATTGAGATCTGGTGACTGTGGAGGCCATTTGAGTACAGTGAACTCATTGTCATGTTCAAGAAACCAGTCTGAGATGATTCCAGCTTTATGACATGGCGCATTATCCTGCTGAAAGTAGCCATCAGATGTTGGGTACATTGTGGTCATAAAGGGATGGACATGGTCAGCAACAATACTCAGGTAGGCTGTGGCGTTGCAACGATGCTCAATTGGTACCAAGGGGCCCAAAGAGTGCCAAGAAAAGATTCCCCACACCATGACACCACCASCAGCAGCCTGAACCGTTGATACAAGGCAGGATGGATCCATGCTTTCATGTTGTTGACGCCAAATTCTGACCCTACCATCCGAATGTCGCAGCAGAAATCGAGACTCATCAGACCAGGCAACGTTTTTCCAATCTTCTCTTGTCCAATTTCGATGAGCTTGTGCAAATTGTAGCCTCAGTTTCCTGTTCTTAGCTGAAAGGAGTGGRACCCGGTGTGGTCTTCTGCTGCTGAAGCCCATCTGCCTCAAAGTTCGACGTACTGTGCGTTCAGAGATGCTCTTCTGCCTACCTCGGTTGTAACGGGTGTTTATTTGAGTCACTGTTGCCTTTCTATCAGCTCGAACCAGTCTGCCCATTCTCCTCTGACCTCTGGCATCAACAAAGCATTTCCGCCCACAGGACTGCRGCTCACTGGATGTTTTTTCTTTTTCGGACCATTCTCTGTAAACCCTAGAGATGGTTGTGCGTGAAAATCCCAGTAGATCAGCAGTTTCTGAAATACTCAGACCAGCCCTTCTGGCACCAACAACCATGCCACGTTCAAAGGCACTCAAATCACCTTTCTTCCCCATACTGATGCTCGGTTTGAACTGCAGGAGATTGTTTTGACCATGTCTACATGCCTAAATGCACTGAGTTGCCGCCATGTGATTGGCTGATTAGAAATTAAGTGTTAACGAGCAGTTGGACAGGTGTACCTAATAAAGTGGCCGGTGAGTGTACATATCAGTAAAATGATCATTGGACTGTTCATTTTATTTTAACAACATATGTACTAAAAGGTATTTTGACAACAAATATATATCAGCTGTAGCAGCATCATATGAATTCTGGCATTTTACACATAGTCCACCAGGAGGCGCCAACACAAAAGTCAGAGACTTCACATGAGATTTGGACCDTCTTGTGYGGGAAAAGCAGATTTCTTCCTACTCGCGAGCACCCCCTTTGGTGGGGAAACGTTTTTCAGGGATACAAACTTTTTCAGAACACCGGTAGACGGCAGCCATTACAGACGAATGTGTTTGTTGTTGTTCCAGGAGCGGTCCGGTTACACACTAATGTCTTTAATTCGTTATCATTACTGAGCTGCAGGACAGCTTTCCCCKACTTTTTTCCACATCATGTCTCCTGCCTGGATCTGTTCTCTCTCTCTGSAGCACGGAGGAGTGTCAGAGGTGAGCTCGTTTCAACTGCTTTTTATGACGCGGTCTCATTTACGAACTCAGGKATTTTTCCAATATTTCAGTTAAAATACATAAGTAAAAATATTTATCCGAGTATAATACTACCCCCCAACTTTAAGGATGATTTTTATGGATTAAATTTCACGTATTATACTTAAATAAATACGGTATATGTTGGGTTCATGAATATGCATATTCTTAAATAAAGAATGTTAAAAAAAAGAAACTGAGCAGCCTGTTTAGAGCAGGTGGATATTGTTTTTCTGTGTTGATCTCACTTTATTCTGATTCTGTTGCCTTTATTCTTGAACCATGTGAGAAACAAACTGTATCAGAAAACATTTCAGAAGAATCTTTAGCAAAGTTAATAAAGTTGTGTTGTGTTTAACGTGGATGCTCTAACTCGAAGCACTATAATCTTTTCTGTTGGATAGTTAAATTCAGCGTTTTACATGTCATTTGTTTTTACTCAAGTCACTTTTAAGTAACGTTTCTTTCATATAAGAACAATTCTGTCAGAAAAAATACACAAATCAAAGTAAAACTCAGGTATAGATGGTTTCAGACTGAACTGTTGTGTTGCCTTCACTAAAAGCAATGTTGTGTTTTTATCTCTGGCAGTAAGATAAAGATCCTAGAGTGCAGAACATTTTATCATAGCAGCTCTTGATTAAAAAAAAGAACCAAAACACACAGCAGTGCCTATTTTCCTTTAGCTGTTGTTGATCTTACCTGAAGATTTTGACTTGTGTGAGGGCAGAGCTGAAGTCTCGAGCTCTCAGAGTTTCAATCAGAGACTGGATCGCCGTCTCTGTGTTGGTCTGGACATTGTCTGGCATACACACATCCTCCTGACCATCATTTCCTGTTTCTGCTGCACTCAGGCAGCTCTCCAGGATACTGAGTTCTTCAGACATGTTGGTTACCTGGGAAACAGACACACAAATATGACTTATCACCGCATCAAAGCACCATTAAAATAAAAAAAGGTAAGCTTTCATGTGCAAATACAAGTGGGAGGTCAGAGCAACAACCTTAAAGTAAGTTGTAACTGAATTAAACTCTATCAGTGAGTAATGGAAGTGATTTAATTTCATCAGGTACCAGAATCTGATTAAATATCAGCTGTACTGCAGCTCAGATAGAGATCTACAGACCAAGGAACAAGTGCTGAGAACTTCTGGCTTTAAAACCAGGCTGCACATCTTCCAGGAAACTGAGCCCTCTAACATCACCACAGTCCAGTGATTGTAGGAAAACAACAGGAAGACATAAAAACAGTAATGCAGAGCATCTGTTCAAGATAAACACACAAAAATTATAGTTTCTAATCCAAACAAAACAATAGAATAAACAGTGTGAAGGTTAGAAATATGGTTCAGAGGAATCACAATGTGACTTTTAGGTGTCTATTCCAGGGCCGGAGTTCTGCCCTCCAACTGGTTCCTTCATCTCTTAAGACCATTCTCCCGTTTGGTATCTACAGYAACGTCAGAATCTTGGCTACAAGCTGGTAAAACCATTTCTATGAACACCCAAGGCAGTTAAAACTACAAGCAGTTGAAGATAAAACTATGAAAGTGAAAATAAAATTGGTTTAAAAATTTGGCAAGTCAGAGATGTTAACATAATATTTGTGTCAAATAGAAGGTATGTGTTCTTTTTGTTTTTGTTGTTTAATTATCACTACTTTTATAGGGTTCTGTATGTTGTAATCATGATTAAATGCAGCAAAACAAACTATATCAAAGGTAACAGATCTTTGTTATACTTGGTTTATTTACATAATGACTTTAATTGCTGGATGTTCGGGCCCTCAGCTGTTGGCCTGCAGAAACTGTGGCCCCTGAAGAAATTTAGTTGAATAGCCCTGATCTATACCAGCTCATAAATACCTTTAACTTGGATCAAGGTTTAAGTCAATATTGTATCAAGCAGAGACTCAGTATGAACCATCCACAAGAACTCATTGAAATACATCCAAGGTGCAGTTTTTTTTTAATTAAATCAGAAACATGTTCTATTTGTTTACATGGAAATTAAACTTGTACTGGAGGTGCATATTTTGTTTGATTTCAACTTCCGTGTTATGTTCTTGTGTCCAGTTTAATGTAGATACAAATTATGGGTTAAACTGAAACTACACAGCTTCTGAGAAACAAGGAGACTGATATTTTTTAATGTGGGCGTTCCTGCCTCCTGCTGGCGCAACATTTTTGTTTGGATCATTTTATTGGAGATATACAGTGGGGAGAACAAGTATTTGATACACTGTTGATTTTTCAGGTTTTCCCACTTGCAAAGCTTGTAGATGACTGTAATTTTTATCATAGGTACTCTTCAACTGTGAGTGATGGAATCTAAAACAAAAATCCAGAAA